TTGTGAAATTGGATTGTAAAAAAAAATATCTTCTTCTTTATAAAGAATTCAAAGAATTGTCTCTGCTTAAACATATGTTAATTTGGATCAAGTCTTATCATGTGATGTGGCCCACCAATCAAATTTAGAATATACTTAAAGTTAAAATTGATTGGTTGATTAGAGTTATGTTTTTTGTCTTATTTACCTTGAAATATATATAAATCAGAATATTTTTGAACTAGTATAAGTTATAAATAAATATTTTTTTTAAAAAAAAAAGGCTGTTAAGTTGTAATAAATTGATTTAGCTACAATTTGAAGGCTTTTTTTGTTATATAATTTTATATTATAAGCTACTAATATTTAAAAATTAGAAATTTATTTTAGTGTTTAGGTGTAGGGATTGGAACTGTTATTCGTTTAACCGTGATTAACCGTTTATTTATATTAGATGGTTAAATGATTAAAGGTTTTAATAAATGATTAAAAACCATTAAATTATTCGCTTAATCATTTTAAAATTTTATACAATTAATCGTGATTAATCGTTAACTGACGTGATCTGATTAATCTTTAGACTTCATATATGAGTGCCATTAAGCAAAAATCTGCCATTGGGCTTTCAATTATATTTTTTACCAGACACAATCAGTTTAATTTAGAGATTGTGTCTGGCACAAAATATAATTGAAAGACTGATGACAGGTTTTCTTGGCATGATAAATCGATAAAGTTAATTTTTTTTTTCTTTTTTTATCACAGGTATCATATTTGAAAAATTATTATTTTTTCTGATTTGGCATTTTTTTATACTTCGTCAGAACTGGTCTGCGTAGAAAACTAGAACTGGTATAACTTAAGTCAGTTGCTTTCTTCTTTTATTGTTTTGTTTAACGGTTTATGCTTTACCGAGAAATGTAAAAAAGGTACCGGGAATGGTAACTGGACTTGGCATAACATGAGTACTATCTTTATTTTCTTTCTTGTGGTTTTCTGTTCTTCCATTTTATTAACTGACTTTCTTTTTTTGGTAGTTTGTACTTCGCCCTGGAGACGTGAATTGGTGACAGGAGTGGAGTGGATTTGGCATAATATGAGTGCCGATTCTTTTCTCTTGTTGTTAGTTTCTGTTCTTTTATTTCTATTTGCTTACCTTTCTTTTGTAGGTTGTATTTTGCCCCAGGAATATGAATTTGTGTCAGAAATGGTAAACTGGCTTGACATAATACGAGCACCGGATTTGTTTTCTTTTTTCTTGTAAGTTTTTTGTTCTTTTATTCTATTAACTTTCTTTTTTTTGTAGTTTAGTGATGTGACCCGAAATCCATTGGATTCAATTTTTATATTAAATCTAGTGAATATCTATTGGATATATGAAATAGTTATTTAATAGATTTCGGGCCACATTACTACTGTAGTTTGTACTTTGGCCTGGAAGCGAATGATGAACTGGACTTGAGATAATTTTTTTTTTCTTTGTACTTCACCCTGGGAACATGAATTTGTGTTGAGAATAGGATTTGGACCCAGGAAGAAACTGGCATAATAGCTTGTCTGGTCTTTAAGTATTGAAATTTCGCAACGTAAGGTCGGCAAAATGGATGAAGGTCATCACGTTAAGGCCATAATACTGTAATATAGTAAAAAAATTAAACAGCTAAACGGTAATCGTGTAATTTATAGTTAAGCGATGCGATTATCGCCAGCATAATTTTTCATGGTTCCAATCCCTAGTTAATGGTAGACTCAATAACTAACTATGAGTCAAATAATTAGATGATCAATAAATGGTAAATGATTAAATGATTAATAAATGATTAAACGATTAATAAACAGTTAAACGATTAATAAATAGTTAAATGATTACACGATCAATAAATAGTTAAACAGTTAAACGATTAATAAACGGTTAAACGATTAAACGATTAATAAATGGTTAAACGGTTAAACGATTAAATGATTAATAAACGGTTAAACGATTATACGATTAGTAATCATGTAATTTATATTTAAACGACACGATTAATCGCCAGTGTAATTTTTCGCGGTTCCAATCTCTACTTCTAGAGTACAAGTTCTTTTCTTCTAGTAGTAATCTGGCAGTTCAGCTAGTGTATCTTTCCACTTAAGGATCTGGTCATTTGGTTCTCTAATCTCAGTTCCCAGTTTCAAATTTAGCCTTTCTGTAGTACCCTCAAAGATCACTGCTATACCTAACTCAATACTTGCCAAATGGGTTTTTAGTAAATTCAGTTCTCTAGATTTATTGCACCAAAGCTTCTATATGAGATAGTATAACCAAGGCTACAGATTTCTAGATCTAACTGACTTTCAATACTGTTAACCATATTACAGCCCTATTTTTCAAAATTATTGTTTATGAGATTTGAACTCTAAGTTTGCTATTTGGAAATATGACAACTCCACTATGTTACTAAGTTATTATACCTCTTGATTTAAATTTTTTTTAATTTATTATTAATATATTTTATATATTTTATAGTTATTTTAAATTATAAATTATAAAAATTTATTATATTTTATAATAGATAGATTTATATAAATTTAAAATTAGTTAATTTTTATAAAATAAAACAAATTAAATTTTTAAATTTTAAATTTTTTTTTGAATATAAATAACTTTTTTAAAGATAAATAAACAGTACGTCTGTAGCAAAATTGAGCCTGCCAATAAAATTAAAGTTAGATTAAAGTAGAGCTAAGGTTTAGGATTAGAATAAGGTAAAATTATAAGAAAAATATTTTTGTTTAGTTATTCAATGGGTTACACTAATAAAATTTTGATTTTTATAATTGAGAATACAAAGCACATGGAACACTGTCTAGTTAGTTGTTTTTTAATATTAAAATTTTAATTTTAGGCTTTAATTAATAAAAAAAAAAAAAATCAAATCTATTAAAAAAAGTGATTAACCTATATTATGAAGATTACTTTTAATTTTTTTAAAAAAATTACTAATTATTTATAATTAAATAAAATTTTTAAGAACTTGTTATTTAAATAGATTAAAATTTTTATAGTAAATAAAGTTATTATTTTTAATAACATACAAATTAAATAATTCAAATAGTTAGTTTTTAAAAAAATTAATTTGTAGTTACAATTATAAATTTTATTAACTAGTATAATATTGACAATTTTTTGATCTATTGATCAGTTTTAGATAATTTTATCACCTAAATATTAGCCTAATAAGACGATTTCAATAAGCTTCAAAATCATTAAAATCCAATTATAAGGTCTTATGATAGTTAAGTATTATTGTAATTGTAAATATTTTATAATTAATTTAATCAAATTTAAAAATAAAAATAGCATAAAATCTTAATAACTATGAAATCTTGTAACTGGATTTTTAATAATTTTAAACTATTAGAATTGTCACATTAAGCTAGTTATTTTGGTAATAAAAAATCATATTATTTTTAATAATAATTCTAAATATAATTAAAATCAAGCTATTATTGTGCAAACTCTTATGATCATAGTACTGTTTTTTTTTTTTTATAAAGAAGCTTAATTATAAAACATGCAGTTCTTGTATTGCCTATAGCAGCTATAGTGCTTAAGCACATAAGTATAGTTGCTATTTAAATAATTATAACCATTGATCTAAATTAGATATATATGAAATTTTGTTTCAAATCTCATTTTATACAGTAAGTTTGAAACAAGTTCCATATTTTTAACTAGTCTTAAATAGTGGGTAATACTCTAGACAGTTCCAAAGCCCTAAACTAATTAAGTTTGAATAGCAACTATATGTATGAGATCTTTGCACTGCTATTGCAATCATAAAACCTAATTACAATATGAACCCTTGCACTACATAATACAATATCAGATATAATACACTTATCTCTAACTCCCTTTAAGCAACTCAAGTATCTAGTTTCTTAAATAAAAATTTTTTTAGTAAAATGTTTGGCCTAGTCGATTAGCTTGAGTAATTTAGGAGACTAGAGGATATGATATCAATATGTATTACTAATACTTCTATCCCTGGCTATGTAGTGAGTAGGTAATATCGATGACAGGCTAGATATATATCGAGCTAAAGCAAATATATAAGAGAAAAACTAATTTTTATGTTTTTTCTTTTTTATAGTCATTTTTCATGACATAGTGATTATCATCATTATGTAATCAATTCAAAATTCATTATGTAATAATCGCTTATGTAATGTGTTCACATCTCAAAATCATCAATTTTAAAAAAGTTAGAGTAGGTCAACTGGGCCAACTTTTGCTAGTGTATACAATCTTTTTGATCAGAATTAGTCTTTAAATCTATATTAACTTATAAAGTCATCAATAGCCTCTTACTAAATTTTAGTAATATAAATTGTTTTGTCTTTTTTTCTTTTTGTTTTTGAGAAATTATAGAACTTTAAAAATAAAAGTTAAAATTAAAAGATAAAATTAAAAGAACTAAATTAAAAAAAAATTAAAATTGTATAGTTTAAAAATAAAAAATTAAATTATAACTTAAAGTTTAATATAAAATTTAAGCAATAAATTAAAAAAATTAAAATTATGTAGTAAAAAATTTAAATTATAATTTAAAAAAAAAAAGAATAAACAAAAAAAAATTAAATTATACTTAGAGTTTTAAATAAAAATAAAACAATAAAAAATAAAGAAGCAATAAAAAAACAATAATAAAAACAATAAAAATAAAAATAATAATAATAATAAAAAAAAACAATAAAAAAATAAAAAAAGAATAAAAAATAAAAAATATAAAAAAAAATAAAAAAAGAATAAAAAAAGAACAATATAATAAAAAAGAAATAAAAAATAAAAAAATAAAATAATAATGTTTACTATATTTGGTTTAATTTTTTAATATTATTTATACTTTTAAGTTGTAAGTTAATAAAATTTTTAAATATTACCCAGCGGCTTTGTTTACTATTAAAAGATTAATACTAATAAGCTATTCTATACCAATAAAAAAAAAACTATATCAAGTTTTTGTAATAATATTATACTATTAATTGGCCTTGGTTTGATAAACTATAAGAAATTGTGGAATTGATGCCTCTTCTTTATACACAATAATTTCATTATGCTTTAGATCTTTTAAATTTTTAACGATATTAGGATCTCCACATACGCTATCATACCCAGGTGGAGGACTTGTAAGTGAAAAATCATTTTCTAAAGGTTTATAAATTCTACCTAAAACCACATTATTCAATAATATTACTTTATAATTTACGCCATTACGGTTTTCTAACAAATTGGCATTAAAGTTATCACATTTTGATGAGGTTGTAGAAAAATAGATCCCTTTACCAAATAATCCATATCTTGCACAATCGAGTTTGTATCCTTCCCTTATGATACAGCAAATTGAGCATGATTTCTCAATGCAAAGTTCGCCGTTTTCAAAGCCAATGGTGCAAGTTCTTGAAAAAAAAATTGTATATGATTAGAAAAGTTTTTTACTTTTCTTAATTAATATGAATGTTGCCAGATTAAAATCTGTAAGTGAAATTTGAATTTTCAACGAATCTGGATTATACCCTCAAAAATTGATAAATCACAATTAATAAAACGAAACATGTAATAATGTATTATCAGTTGTAGAGAAGTAAGATACATACAATAAAATGTCACCAAAATGACATACAAATCTATCGAAATGATCCCATAACTATCGTAGATGTGCTTCAATTACAATTCATCCGATGACAGTTTGTTGCAATGAAAACTTAAATATTCACTTACAGGGTTTACTTTGGCAACATTATTATATTAAAGGATTGAAAATTTACGTCTTTGCTCCATGAAATAGTTTACACTCATTTCCTACATCCTTTCGATAAAGCTCGTATCGAGTAATTAAATCCTTTGCACAATATATTTTCCATATTGAAACAATCGTAGGAACAGGCTTATCCAAATGTTTCCAAGATGATAAAAATAGTTCCGAAACATATTTATAATCTTTATCTTCTTTACGGAGCTTATACAGAAATGGTTCTAAAAAGTAAAATATAAAAATAATTAAATTTGGGAAATGAATAAATTTTGATTCAAAAAATCGTCAAGAAAATTAATGTAAATAGAAATAGAAATAACATACCTTGCTGAATAAAAATTGAATTAGTCGAAATATTTGATGCTTTGAGTATTGATTTAACCTGATCGGTTTGAACAATGAACTCTTCCATCCTACTGCTATCTTGAAATCTTTATCTGTTGTACCTATTAGGACTTCACAATAACTATTCGAAAAATATGACAGAATTTGTTTTTATATATAAACATTATGACGACTTACGTCATATTCGATTGTTTATTAATATATTTAGTCATGGTCTTATATAAAAAAGCTCATTATTAATTACTATATGAGGACTAGTCTAGGAAAATTTTGGAATTCTCGAATTCTCCATTTTCCGATTGATTAATAACGTCATGCTCTTATTCATAGCTCTGTAATTTGTATCTTAAAAAATTTTTTAAAAAATTCTTTAGGATATAGATTGTAAATTAAGACCATGACGTACTTAATTAATCAGAAGATTCCAGAATTCCAAGTGGCCTCATATAAATTACATTCAAACATAATAAAAAAAAAAAATTGCATGAATATTAAATGAGCTTTACGACGTACATATATATAGTCGACTCTTATTTTCGATAAACATATAAAGTAGAGTATTATGGCAAGTGCAATTGCAATCGCGTCAATTTCTTTTCGATTATATGTATATTGCTTTTTAACAATAATAAGAATTGTTACTAATTAATGGTTTTAGCTAAATACGTGTAATTCATTTCATATACATTAATATTTATCGATACATTTATTGCCTTAAGTGGATACAATAAACATTACGCATTGAACGTCAAGATATTACCAGAAAGAAATTCCATTACGAACAAAATATTAATATGAGCGCGATTGCAATTCCTATCAGTATTAGGTAAAAAAAAAAAAAAAACATTACTCAACATTTTGTGATGCTAGATTTCCATATTCTGATATTCGGATTTTTTTTTCATTTTTTACTATTTATTTTTATTTTTTGATTCAGCTCTTATATTATGAAATAGTTATCAAAGTTAATAAAAATTTTTTTACTTATGTATTTAATGTAATATAAAAAATTACACGATTGCTCAATGGCAGCAAGAGAAACAAATAATGTGAAACAATCCATTAGTATTCAAGTTCCTTTCAGTATCTCAAATTCAAAATTTCGAGTTAGAACCGATAAAATAAGCAATTTCTTTCGCTATTCAGATTTATAATGTATTTGTATAGAAAATTTTTTTTGGCATAAAATTCATAATTTCTAAATTTATTTGATTGTAAGAAAAAAAATAACATAAGGTTGAAGAATTATAAACTATAATTAATGTTTAACTTTACATACTAACTAACTTTTGTTTTAGCATTGATTGTTTATTTGGGCATCTTTGCTACCAGCATTAACAGCAAATTATAAATTGATGAAAAGCCAATTTTTCATTTTTATCACACCCAATCCCATTTTTGTAGCAGCATCCTAAGTATTAATTGGCTTTTAAATAAATTTTATAAAACTTGCTTTTTGAAAGTTCATGAAAGATATACCACGCAGCTTTTAGACCTTCGTGTTCGTTGTTGTATTTATGAATGCTTTTATAAATAATTCAGTAATTTTTGAATGCATCGTCAGCAGCATCAAAAAGTTTTTTTTTTCAATCGTATGAACCTTTTCTCCAATACGTTGAAATTCTGCGACCCTCCTAAGATCAACAATTGTTTTATTTGTAATATATTCTTTTCCAGTTCATGTAGTTTAGTATAAATTTCTACAATTTTTTCATAGGCCATTAGTCTCGCGCAGAAAATATCCACAAATTTGGACCGTTATTTTTATATGCAAATGGTCAAATTTAAATCAAATGTATTGAATCAAATTTATTCATTTTGTAATAATTGATCATAGTACAACTAATTGAAAAAAGAATTGTGTTTCAAGTTACATTTAATGTTGATTCTATTTATTAAATTTTAACTTACAAATGTCTAATTATAAAATAAATAATAATTAACAAACCATTCATTTTCTTAGCACATCAGGAAATAACGAAAGCGGTGAAACTGTCCCAATATTTTTTTTAAAATTTAAATTCAGCTTTTGCGACCAAAAATTGGTCAAAGAATTATTGTATTCTAAAATGCGTATATTGTAAT